ACACAGGTTCCTTCTCAATTCTAGATGCAGTTTTACACGGACTCATCATCAAGAAACCCTACATAGGTTATTTCTTTCCAAGATGAAGTTTCACACGGACTCATCATGAAGCAACCCTACACAGGTTCCTTCTTCCCAAGATGCAGTTTTACACGAACTCATCATCAGGAAACCCTACACAGGTTCCTTCTTTCCAGATGAAGTTTTACACAGACTCATCATCAGGCAACCCTACACAGGTTCCTTCCTTCAAGGATGCATTTTCACACTGACTCTTCATCAGTCAACCCTACACAGGTTCCTTCCAAGATGCAGTTTCACAGACTCATCATCAGGAAACCCTACAAAGGATTAATTTTTACACGAACTCATCATCAGGCAACCCTACACAAGTTCCTTCTCAGGAAATTTCAGATGCAGTTTTACACGGACTCATCACCAAACAACCCACCTTTTGATACAATTCAGATACACTCCAGACATGGACGCAATTCTGATACTCATTCTTTCAACTTACAAATTAAAATTCAACAAGCATTCTTGGGTGACATCTACAAGCCCATCTCCAACAAGATTCTATCACCTCTCCAAATGGCATCTTTAAGCCCATTCGTCCTATCATCGCATCACCGAGTGCAAATTTCTGGGCACTCTAGTGTCCAATCATCTTCCACCTTCGAGTCACGAATGGCAGAACTCGCCAATCTAACTCTTCAGGTTTAAGAAGATTGAACAGGGGCAGCTGTTGTACCCCAAAATTTGCCCTCTCATTTTTCAAGGCTTTTCTCACAAGGATTCTCAAGGTTCAAGCTTGCACAAAGTACATTGGGATTTTCCAGCACCAAAATTAAAAGGAAATTGTCAAAAAGGGGGAAAACAAATAAAAATAACATTTTGACGAATTTGGAGGAAAATAGGTCTCCTTCGATTCAGCCCCATTCGATTGGACTTTGCACCTCCTTCGATTGCTCAAAAGTTGCTGCTAGCGTGCCTCTTTCGTCTGGGCATGTGACTTCAAATAAGTCTCCTTTGATTTAGAAGGAAATGATCTTCATACAAGCTTCAATTGAGTTTTTGTTTCCCTTTGAAACAGTGTCCTTCGACTCAGGAATGTCCTTCAACTCAGGAATGTAAAGACCTCCTTTTAGTTTTCTTCAATTCAAAAAGTCAATAATCTTCTGCTAGCTTCCTTTGATTCAGAAGTTAATAACCTTATGAAAAGGGTCATTCGGAGAACACACAGTTGGTTCATTCGAAGGACACACAACTAGCGAAAATGAATGTTGTGTTGTTCTAGTCTGGTCGAAAGGTGTAGAAAGATGGAGGATTCGACTCAAAAGATCAAGTTGAACATTTAGACCCATAGGCTAGGCTACGTGTTTTCCATTTTTAGGCCTTTACCCATTTGTTGTCTAAGACCACTTGCACTTAATAGCATAATACTACCTTTTAGAAAAGTTTGTCTTAAGCCTTGCGCCTATTTTCCTTCAGAAGGAAGCAACCCATCTGAACCATTCATCTTGCTTTTATGGCACAAGTGGACATTTACTTTCCAACTGAGCCTTATTTTATTATTTTTACTCCCCAAGCTTCCCAAAAGCCTTTCTCTATAAATAGAGAGTTCATTTGCACAAAGAAGGAGAGAATCTTTGGACCAGAGGAACGAATCCCCCAAATTTTCTCAAACACAACACAAAACTCTCAAGTTCATCAACACTTGAGAAATAAAAAAAACCCAGAATCCCAAACACTCACCTCTTTCGATTCTGAAGAACACCACACACATAGAAGTTTGTTCAAACTCAAATATAACCTTCTGTGACAACTCTTCGAACCAAAATCAAACCCCGTGTGACTACTCTTCGAATTCCAGAAACGTCCAGGTAGCAGTTCAAGTTCGAATCCCACACACCAGCTTTGAGGTAAGTCTTTATGACTTTAACTCTTTCATTTCAAACATCTTTATTGATTCATCTACTAAACCAACATGTAGTAATCATGGCCTTCGATGTTAATCTTTTGTGTTTTCCTTTAAAGAACTAATCTGTACAGTCCCTTAAAATGTTGGAATACAAAATATGCATGCTTCGACACACTTGCTTCGATGCATACACATGCTTCGATACAGACATGTTCAACACACACACACACTTGCTTCGAATACACTGACCTGCAGGCCCAGACCAAAGACACTCCCTCACTGCTTTCAGTCTCTAGTCGAAGGAGGCAGAAAGGCAGATTGCACCTTGCATTAGTTCCAGGCCCAATCGAAAGGCACAACATGCTGACTCCTAAAGCCTGTCAAAAGAAATAGCAAGAAGGGTGAGTCGAAGGTTACCGACTAACACTCCTGCAGTCGAAGGAAACAAAAAAAGGCAGATTCGAAAGGGTTCATGAAGATTTGAGTCGAAGGGTGCTACTGCCTGGGTCGAAGAGTTCATTTTCCTTTCTTTTATTTTGTTTTTGCCTTTACATTTTCTTGCCTTTCAATATGGTTGTAATAGTGTAGGATATTTATTTCCTGCATTTTTATTGCTTTGTCAAATGCTAGTAATTAGATGTGTATGGCAAGATAAAATCAACAAGTAGACAACCCTAATCAAAGACTAAATGCCTGCAATCAAACACACTTAGCACACATACACCCTTAGGGTAATTCCACTTGTTGCCTTACAAAAATGGTCATGTTATGCATGTGGGATGTCTTAGCACAAACAAATCGAAAAAGATCATAATCCCTCGATGACGCTATCAAAGTTGCCTTTCAAAATGATCTTAGTCCCTACATAAAAGTGCTAAGTCATTTCACAACATTGCTATCATGGTCATACGATGACCCAACGTCTGTCCCTTCACATCCAACGACGGGGCTTCTTATCAAATCAATGGTAAGATATCAACATCTAAAGGAGGAGGAAAAACATATCTAAAACCTTTTGAGTAGGTAGATTGCTTTTAGTTACTTGCTCAATTTCAAAACAAACATCCTTGCTATTTTCAAAACAATCACATACACTTTCAAAACATTTTCCAAACATGAAAAATTTTCAAAAGCTCAACACTTTGCATGCATTCTTACGAATGGGAATCATTGCAAAGTTCGCCTAAACGATGACAGCTTTTCAAAATACTTTCAAAACCACACAAAAGCATAACTTTCAAACAAAAGCAAGTGATCTAACAAGTAAACTAAGAGCCCATGGAAAACCATGGATGGAAAGGGTGCTAATACCTTCCCTTTTCATAATCTACCCCCCGAACTCAAGAAAACATCTCGAAAGGTCTTTCCTATGTTTTTTTCACCTTTCCTTATTGGATAAAAGAAAAGTCGGTGGCGACTCTTGCTAAATCGCAACATTTTGCGAATACAAATGCAAAACCCTCAAGTCAGTTCTCCCACCGTATCACACATATGTTATTAGAACACATGTTAACATAACCTTTTAAATAATACAAATCAGATACATATTACACTAACAAACAATTTTTTTTACTGCACCTCTGCAAATTAAGAATTTTTTTTTTATGATAAAATTATGTAGGAACTCTAAATTTTTTTTGGTTTAATAAAAATTGAGGTGAATTGAGTTTCCCTAGCTCACTAAAATAGCTTTTACAATGTGAATGGGGCAGAACAGAAGCGAAGGAAACATCTTCGTCAAGATTTCCACTTTCGAATCTATTTTTCATTCCCAACTCGAATCTCGTCATGAAGGAATTTAATCTCCTATCCCATACATGCGGATCCCCAAAGTTTTTATAAAGATGAATAAACATAATTTTTTTCACTATAGCGAAAGTAAATAAATTTAAAAACTAACCATAAAAAACTAAGAAATTAATCATTGACAATAAATCTATTATTTTAACAATATTTGAGAATTATAACCATTAATTTTTTTAACTTGAAAAAAAAAAAAACAGTCATTCAGATTTATGTTTTAGTAACATTATATATATATTTTAAATTTTTTATAAAATAAATTATATGAAATTAAAAATAAACATTGATACAAATTTAAAATTATATATTAATTAAAAACATTATCGAGTTTTAAGTCGAATGAAGACTTTATATTATAGCAATATGTCTGCCTCCTCATTTTTAATGTTTTTTCAAAACACTCTCTTTTCTATTAAGAAAAAATATTTCTTTTTAAAATCCTAAACAGAATAATTTTTAAGAAAAATTTTCAATAATAGATACAAGTTGACATCTCTAATAAATTTCAAAGTTCAACAAATATTATAAATATAATTAATAAAAAAATTATTGAATGGTCGAAGAAAATTAAACCTATCACAAAGATATAGTAAATAATATGAATTGATATATAAGTGCTAAAATAAATTTGAGATGTCTTTTTTAGTTAAAGAAATAATAATAGCTACTAAAATTTCATAAATACAATCGTAAATACAATTCTTTAAGCTTTGTAATAATATTCAACTTAATAATATTAATTTTTATCATTTAATATAAGATTTTCCGATAAAGGTGAGATGTTCATTTTTTAGTATAAGAAAGATAAGTGTTTCTTAAAAGATATAGAAAATGTAAGTGTATTTTTTGACACATAAAAAATGCAAATGTATTCAAAAAAACATTAAAGGAGAGTAATGCAATTTCATCTTATATTTATTTATTTGTTTATTGTAAATTTTTTTTCTTTTTTTTTTTTGAATCAAAATATTATTGTAAATTTATTATTTTAGTCATAGGACATAATTATTTATTATTAATAATAATAATTTGATATAATACAACAATATAATATTTGAATTTAATGAAACTGAGTATTTTGTATTATAAAAAAAGAAAAGAAAGTAAAATGATAGATGGGCTTGTATTAAAGCCCAATGGATGTAACCCAGTGGCCCAGGGTTAGAGCATATGCATTACAAAACCCTAATTATAAAAAACGAAACGAAAACCCTAACGAGTTTGTTCTCCCAGTTGAAAACCCAGAAGCGGCCGAAGGAGCAGAACCATCTCAACAATGGTGAGCTTGTTTTCTTCTCTTTCCAAAACTACAATCGGTTTCCGAATGAGTTGAATTCGAATCTGATTCTGATTTCGATTTTCAATTTTGCAGGCGGACGTTGAAGTCGATGCAGCAGCCGCCGCGGCCGGGATTCCAAAGAAGAGAACGTTTAAGAAGTTCAGTTTCAGAGGCGTTGATTTGGATGCACTTCTCGACATGTCCACTGATGAGCTCGTCAAGCTCTTCAGTGCTCGTGCTCGTAGAAGGTTCCAGAGAGGTCTCACCAGAAAGCCCATGGCTCTCATCAAAAAGCTTCGCAAAGCGGTACAATTTTATTTTTATTTTTTCTTTATTTTCAACCATTTTCAAACATATTCGATAAATTTAGGCTTTCGTACGTTTATTTTGTTATAGTTTGGAATAAATCGACATTAGGCTAGCTCCTTTCAAATGCATTTAGGGTTTCTAATGCATTGGAAATTATTCGTTAGGCATATTTTTTGGAATGTGAGCAGATATAGTTGTTCCTTAGATTTTTTATGACTGAAAAGCTAATTCGTATTGTTGTTCCTTGATTTGTGAAGTGAATGTAGAAGGAAGCATTTATGTACTTAAATATAGGGATACATTTGTTATTTTCTTTAATATATGGATACATTTGTAATTTTCTTTAATATATGGATACATTTGTTATTTTCTTTAATTTAGGGATACATTTGTTATTTTCTTAAGCTTAGGGATTCATTTGTAGGTTTTTCATTTAATCTACTTCAATTCAAGGATTCATTTGTTATTTTCTTAAATTTGGGGATTCATTTGTAATTGTGATTTAGGGCCTCTTTGCTTCTGCTTTAAAAAATGGATTTTTTTTTGTATTTTTGAATTTTTTTCTCACAATATAAGTTTTTTTTTATATTCGTTTATTCTAAATTGAAACACTAATTTTGACATCCTATAACATAAACAGACATTATTGAAGACCAAAACGTAGTTAATTTTTTTTTTAAAAAGTGTATTTTAAAAATGTTTTTTATGAAAATCTATTTGAGAAGTTTCAATAAGATGAAATATCTAATATAACATTTTAAGAATAACTATTCAAACCAAATTTTCATTTGAAGCTTTTATGAAAAATTTTCTTTGTAAATTTTTTTTACACAAAATTATGTATCACTATTAAAATCATTTTTAAAATAAGCCAAAATAGATGGGGCCCTTAATGTTCTTATATTTAGGGGTTCATATGTTATTTTGTGATTTTAGGTATTGATTTGTATTTTTTAGGATGTGGACTGACATAGTTGTTGCTTAGAATTTTGAGAACTGAAATGCTAATTTATATTGTTGTACTTTGATTTGTGAATTGAATGTAGAAAAGGGAGGCACCACAGGGTGAGAAGCCAGAACCTGTTAGGACTCATCTTCGTAACATGATTATTGTACCCGAGATGATCGGAAGCATTATTGGAGTGTACAATGGGAAGACATTTAACCAGGTTGAGATCAAACCTGAGATGATTGGGCATTACCTTGCCGAGTTCTCTATTTCATACAAGCCTGTTAAGCACGGTAGACCTGGTATTGGTGCTACTCACTCTTCCCGGTTCATTCCTCTCAAGTGAATTGTTCTTTTTCGGAGACTACACTTGTATTTTGCAGTTTATTTTGAAGGAAAGAACCTGAGATGATTTTGTTTGTTATGTTTAGTGCATTTTATTTTGAGTGCTTGTTAGTATAAACAATGTTTTGTTATGACTTAATTATTGAGATTCAGCATTCAGGCTTATGTTTTGCTTGTCTTAAGTTGTTCTTATGCAATGATACGGATTGGGTAAGAGAATTTGTCAATGGCTCTCAATAGTTATGCAATATTTCTTTATTCGGATCATTCTTTGAGGTGTTTATTGAATATCTCGCTTGAATCAAAACATGAACCTAATTTCAAATACCTCAAATGATTTTACTAACCTTTGGGAATGTTGACCTGAGTTCATTATTCTACACAACAATATTGCATTGTTTCTTTGTAGGATAACTTTTAATGGTTTCTTTGTTACTAGTGTATTCTTTGAATTTTTTAAAGTTGTATAATTTTGTCTTAAAGTTCAATTTTATTTTACCAAATCGATGTTTTATTAAGAATCTTTGTTTTAAGTTTTTGACCGAATGCAGTGAATTCTGCACCCATTCAAGATATACAACTAATTCGTAGTCATTAGGCTTTTTTTTAGATTTTTTTTTTTTAAATAACCACATTTTTCAAAAAAAAAATCTCAAATAATCCCGTTTTCAAAAAGTTTACAAAAGTAATCACTTTTCGAACAAAAAAATTTGCTACATAGAGGAGTAGTCACTCTGTGTTGCGCATATAATGCGCATGCATGCAATTATTGAGTGGAGACGTCACTTAGTGTGGCGTATGTTATTTTTTCTGTGACAAATTCGCTGGTTGGACCAGATGATCATGTTGTGTTGTTGTCCTGAGTTTCTGGTGTTGTAATTTTTCGAAATGATAACTCGAATTTAAATTGAAAATTCTTGCGTACAACAAATTAATTACTCCAGAAAATTTGCTATAAAAAAATTAAGTTGCAGAGTTAGACTCAATATTCAGATTATTTTTTCGATTGCGTCCGAGAAAATGACATGTACTGCATAATCTTATCATTTTGTTGGCCATATCCATTTGGGGTGTCCTTTTTCTTCCGTCGCATTTGTTCAATGTGCCAAACAATGCCCCTTGATAAGCAGGCCAATAATCCTCCTTTGCCAACACGGAGAAGGTATTGATGCACACACTTAAAACACTCTTTACTGTGTAAACGGAGGATATATGTTGTATTGGGTCCAAGGGAACATGCCGCTATGAGTATGACATGAGAGCAAGACATGCGAAATGGTTGAAATTTTCCGTAATCACACCAACCTCTATCTAGTTCGGCCCGGTAATATCCCCCTGGCCTCCCCTCATTATGATTCATTGTCTCTTGTACACTTAACCAACCTTTGATACGTTCAAACACTGTGACACTATGGGTGTTTGCTTTGGCAGCCTCCTCGTTAAATATTTTCATTGTGCATTCACTGAAAAACTGCCTTGATTGTAACAATGTCCTCCATTTTGAACTTCTTTTGTCAAACAATGACCCAATCCTAAAATATGTTGCTCTAACCAAAGCAGTAATTGGTAGGTTTCAGATGCCTTTGAAGACAGGGTTCAATGATTCCACCAAATTTGGTGTCATGTGGCTCCATCGTTGACCATTGTCAAATTCTCGAGTCCACTTCTCCACTGGAATGTTATCGATCCACCTTAATGCTTTTGAGTTTGTCAACCGAATTTCTTCGCGATAGTGTCAGAATGATGGTTCTGTTAAGGCATACTATGTATTAACAACTTTCTTTCGAAGTGTCTTGTCTTTGATATGGAGCATGAAGTTTTGTGTGATATGTCTAATGCAATAGACATGTGTTGAAGGGGGATCCTGCCAACCGTTATCAGGGTTATTGTATGCACTCACAATCGATGGATGTCTGTCTGAAATCAAACAAAGGTTGGGTTGAGGAGCAATGTGTAATCGGAGATTCTTCAGAAAGAAATTCCATGCACCACTTGTCTCACCTTCAACTAGAGCGAAGGCAATCGGAAAAACATTATTGTTGCCATCTTGTGCCACTGTCATGAGTAATGTTCCTTTATACTTTTCGTATAATCAAGTTCCATCAATATGTATAATAGGTATGCAAAATGCAAAACCCTTGATGTATGGTTCATACGCCCAGAACAATCGATGAAATATTCAATTTCTACTGACACGAGTTCTGTCTAGGATAAATGTCGGGAGTGTCTCCAAAATTATAACAGTTCCCGAAGCATAATATTTGAGTGCCATCAAAAATCTTGGAAGTTCTTTGTACGATTCCTCCCAATTACCGTACACAAGTTCAACTGCCTTAGTCCTCCCGATTCATGCCTTCCTGTAAGAGGGAGTATAATTGAATCTTGTAGCGATATGAGAAATAAACGTACTCACCTTTAATGATGAATTCTTGCTAATAAGAGGCAAGATTTCTTAACATATTAGTTGAGAACTAAGTTTCCGATGATCCTGCGTCAGAACAGTGGTGATGCAAGTGTGTAGTGGATCAATGGTACATATTTCCCATGAATCACTTCTCTTCCTATAAGATGCAGTTAACCGAAAAGGGAAAATTGGTTTTTGACGATATAAAATAATGTACCTCCCTGAATTATTTCAATCTATACTGAAGTCAGCTAAAATTTCCATGTGGTATTTTTTGATAGCTTTAAGACACTATTCTTTTGTACGAAATCTATCTCCAATTTTTAAGGCCCCTTCGGTCTGCATATAAGGATTGTGAAAGATATCTAAGGTTGGTTCATCTTCCTCCAAATTCAAGTTTGTCATGTGAAACAGAGGGTCGTACACATGACTCATAGGTAGAGGTTCATACTCTTGATATGCAACGTCAACATTGAACATAAAATTAATCATTGCATTATCATCTTCTTCTTCTTGGTCAATAACATTGACTTCGGGATGGTTGTCCTCGCCAGATTCATCCTTTTCTTCAAAATCTTGAGAAGGATCTTCCACATGAGATTGATATGGTTGATGTAATAAAACATACAACTCAATCTCATTGAACCCGGATTGTTCATGAGTTCGAAACATGTTTCGAACATCAACATTATCACACACCTTTAGTTGATAAAATCTGACTTGGTTGTTGTCAAATAGAAATAGGTACTTGTAAAGAATTTGGTAAACTGAACCACACTGTAATTTGACTTCTAGTCTATCTTTGAAGCGTGCAAAACTTGATTTCTTGTTTGTCCGAAAGCGGATAAAATCGGTATTACGGAAATTAAAACAAAAGTTATCGCAATTGAACGTCTCACTGTTAATATGAGCAACAATAGTATAATTTTGTGAATTATCCATGTTGTTGAGGTATGTTTTTTGTGAGTTATGGATGTATACCAGTAATGTTCCCTAAACAGACGCTTAAATAGATTGATGAAAGTATGGGGTGTCTTCTTTATTTTGCAAGCATGCGCCACCTAGGGTGACTTGTCCTCTTTATTTTACAAGCATGCACCACCCAGGGTGGCTTGTCCTCTTTTTTTTGCAAGCATGTGCCACCTAGGATGGCTTGTCACGTGAACAACAAGCTTGCATGCATGCCATCTGATCACTGTCGCGCTGCAGCTTTGCATGCATGCAAAACGTAACAAGCCATGTTGAATGGCGCCTTATTGTATAAAACAAGAGCATGCGCCACCTAGTGTGGCGCCTTAGTGTATAAAACAAGAGCATGCGCCACCTAGTGTGGCGCCTATGTGTATCTTGACCATGATGATCAACATAGTGGAACTCTCAACAACATTGAAATCTTTGTAAGTGTATTTTCTTCAATACCTATTTTTTGTCGAAAAATTTTATTTCCGTAATTCTTATGATTGTTATACGTAAATCTTATATTTCTTATACGTAATTCATGTTTTTAATAGGATGTTAAAAGATTTTGTTATCGTGTCCATGAGTATGTCCCTTACGACGTACAAATTGAACCTTACTTACGACATGTCGGTTTGGTCCGTTACTCAACATAGTCAATTACCACGTTGACTATAAAACTATTCTCGCATTAGTAGAGAGATGGAGATCCGGAACTCACATCTTTCATCTTCTATGTGGTGAATAGACGGTTACACTAGAGGACATGTACATGTTATTCGGTCTACCGGTCGATGGTAAGGCTGTCAATGGCTGATTCAACCAAGACAACACCATGTGCGAGGAACTTTTGGGAGTCTCTTTATTTGAACAAGGGTCTAGAGGCCAAGGTATTAATCTTCATCTTCTTAGAGAATATCATAGTAGTCTCGTAATAACCAAAAACTCTACCGAAAAAGAAAAAATTGTGAAAGCTCGGCGTTAAATAATGATGTTATTTGGCCACTTTTTATTTCCTGAAACAACGGGTAATATTGTTAATATCATATATTTACCCTTGTTAAGACAATTCGATAAAATAAACACATATAGTTAAGGCTCTGCTATTTTGGCCGATCTGTATAGTTCCTTGTGTAAAAATGCATCGAACGACAGCTGCTCTTTCTATTTCTGCATCTTTTTGCTCCAGACATGATGCTGGTCGAGAATGCTAACACTCGCCCCCGCAACACAAGGTCATTCATCTTCCCCTTTGCTACACAGTAAGATTACGAAAACACAAATTTTACATACTATATACTATAACCAACATGTATTAATTTTTTACCCATTTTTTCTATGTAGGCGGTCTGTTCCTGGGATGAATTACAACAAATCCCCTCGAAATGCAATAGTAGTCTACCGAAATCTTATTGATCATGTTGAACCCAAAGAGGTATTAAACTTACATATTTTATACAACGCTTTCAATAGGTTAATTAAGTTTAATATTAATATTAGCTTAACACTTTTTTTCCTCTACAGTTTGTATGGAGGTCGTATAAGGATCTCGACCATGAGATTAACCCGACTGATGCTGAAGTATGGACTACAAAAACAACACTCATCAGGTTCACTACTGTGGAGATGCACCACAATGA